ATATATACTTCTGTATAAATAAGCAAAATTTCTACTTAAGAAAAGTAATAAAGTATTTGTACTTAGTTACTTTACACCACTGAGTACTTTTACTATACTAGGATTATAAGTACTGGTAATAGTTGTACTATTAGGAGTATATTTACAAAGCTTACAGATTTTAACTGTTTAAATGCTTATGTTTAGGCATATTTATAAGTGTATTTAAGTAAACATGAAGTGGTAGCAGTAGTTTTAAAAAATCTAAAACATCAGAATATTTGCTACTGTTTGTGTTGTTAGCCATTGTAGCAATAATGTGTCGACATGCAGGCGTTCCTCTTTGTCATCACTTCCTGTTACTTCTCATGCACTGAAGCTAGTTTGTTGCATCACAAAGCTCTGTGCCAGAGCAGTGATAGTCTTTTCAGTGACGTTTGTGATCGTACGTCTCAACGACTGTTCTCTTTGGAACGATTCATAGGTCCGATTTTTGAGACTTTAAAATCGTTTTTATTTACAAGAACTGGACCTAAAAATGAGTAGGAAAATCAGCCAGTGTTGAATAGGAATTTCAAATAGTCACAAGAATTTAAAGAATTCCTAGAATTTCAAGAATTTTAGAAACAAAATGTGAAGAAAGGACTTTTAATCTGAACCTGATAATTAGTCATTTAAAGAGTGATCATGTTATATTTACTTTTTCATTTGTTGAGATTTTCATTGTGAAAGTTTTTAATTTGTTTTTGTGTACCTTTTTACAGGACACCATGAGCAACTTCAGTGATCGTCTTATTATATGCCACAGTCCCACATCTGATAATGACAGAACTTCAAAAATGAGTATGTAACTTAGCATTTTAAAATGGTCACAAACGTTCATAAAAAATGGGTTTTTTTATGTTTCTAATAAGCTGTTTTCCCAGGCACCCTAGTAAATCTCGCTCCAAGTGATGCATCGGATTGTTCCATGTCTGAAAATAACCTCCAGCAAAACATCGAAAACCCTGACTTGATTAAGGAAATGTAAGTTTTACTGAAACTGTTCTTCTTTTTACACTCTGCAGAAAATGGCATAAAGACTCTGACTAAACAGTTACCTTTTATTGCACAGACTTATTGTTAATTATGTGCAAAATGATGCTGAAATATCTATACCACTGATACCAGAAATTCATTCTCTAGAATCAATATTAAAATCAAAATATTGAAACCTTGCTACGTCAGTTATTTTGGGTAGTGTATATCTTTAACAGGAACACAGTGGAAAGTAATTAACTATTGAAATCTTGTAAAAATCATAAGTAGTTTGAGGGAACTACTTTTTCTTACGCCTGAGTAATGCGGAAGCTCAGTCATTCAGTTTGAAGTCGTTACGATATGGCAGGCCATTTTAACATAAAATCAGTTTTGTCTGACTATCTGTAATTACATTTTAGATATCTAAAATGTAATTACAGATAGTTAGATACGTTTTGACTATCCTGAATGGTAAATTAAAAATATCTTAATTTACATTCTGACTAGTCAGAAGAACAATTCGAGGGATCTAAAGACCCTGTCACACTATGACGTTTTAGACAACTAATGCCAATTTACGAAAATTTTAAAGACATCTTCATTTAAGATGGATATAATAAAATCAACTGGAAGTCTTTATTTTTATGTGTGTACATACTGTAATTCTAACAAGTCAAATAAATAACATTTTCATAAGTTGTCTAAAAGTGACAGAGTTTTTAAAAAGAATTTTGCCTAGTCAAAAATACAGTTCTGGATATCTCTTATTTAATTTTGCCCAGTCAATATGTGCTTTCAAGATATCTGCCCTACTTAACTCTTTTTATGTGAAATCTAAAAATAAATTTAAGATACAGCATCTTTAATTGGAATTATGACTAGTCAGAACAAAAAGCGAGGTATCTAGACTCAAAGCTAACAAACTTTTTGAACCATATTTTTGGCTAGTCAGATTTTTAAGATACTGTATCTTGAATATATGTTTACCCTAAGCCCCTGCACGGTATCTCCAGTCAGCAGTTGCTCCTTAAAGTACCGGCGACTAAGCAAACTCAGGCGGGATCAAGCATTTTCTGTCATCCCTACACATCAGGMAGGCCTCCTTATTGCCTGGTTTCAAAACAAATCTTCAAATTTAGTTTACTAGCTTTTAACCTAGCACGAGACCTTGGTCTGTTTTAGCTGTTTTTACTTGTATTATTGTTTTTGGCCCCCATGTACAGCACTTTGTGTCAGCGGCTGCTGTTTTAAAGCACTTTATAAATAAAGCTGATTTTGGTTTGATTTGAATTGGATCCTGCATAGAAATTAATTTGATGTCATGTAATTTAGAGATATCTCAAATAGATATTTTGACTAGTGAAAATATAATTAAAGATATTTTAAATAACTAATGCATCTAGTCATAAAACAATTTTAGATATATGGAATGTAAGTGTGATGAATCAAAGTTAATGTTAAAATGGCTTTCTATATTACATGTTCAGTACTTTTATGTTAATGTTCATGTAACTTATATTAAGATGCAAGTTTTCATTTTTATAGTAGTTGTTGATCATTAAACAATCATTTAATGTTTTATTTCCTTACATTTTTTGTTTAAAATACCAGTTGTTCTACATCACTATACTTATGAGTATATATAAATATATATATATATATTTTATTTACCAGACACAGTGTATTTCCACAAAGTATCAGATCAGTATAGCAGTTACCAGCTAGAATTTTACTCTGTACCAGAAAGTATATCGACAGCATCAAACATCACTAATTACTGTTCTACAGTCTGTGAAAAATATTCAATGTGGTATTCCCCACCCCCACCCCAGAGCTGATTTCCAGGTTACAAACATCCCGGCAGCCGATGACGCACATCAGACTGAACACACAGAAAAGACTTCAGAGGTGTGTGTTGCCAGGTTTTTCCTAATCTGCTTTACATTTTACAGATTACACCTTAAAACTTTAGGCAAACACACTAAATCTAACCTTACTTGATTTTACAGACTGGGTCGGACAGCGTCCCCGAGT